AAAAAAAAAACATGCATTTTAATTTTGTTTTCTTGTACACAGAGAATTACCATTCAAACTTCAGGAACTCACATTATTGACAGCATTTTAGACTTAAAGAGAACAAGGCTGCTGGATGAGCCTGATTTTTAGGGCTTATCTCATATTCCACCTTGAATGACCTCCCACTGTCAGAAATATAATTCTGAACCCTAGAAGCAGTTGGCAACCCTCTTATTATTTTAATGTGCTTTGGATATACGTAATAAAATATCTGATTATCCTCCTTTCTTTTCCATTGAATTGACACTAATTGGCCGTTGCTGTCTAGCTACTGATTCCATGCTGGCCCTGTAACCCCTAATTCTCTTCAATATTTAGGCTCTTAGCAGAGAGAGCCATCTTACCTGATACACAGACATGGGCCCATCTCCTTGAGGACAACTGCAACTGCGTCAGAATTATATTTGTTTCATAAGGCTGCTGTAACAAAGTACCACAAACTGGGAGGTATAAACAGCAGAAATTTATTGTCTCATAGTTCTGAAGGCTATAGATATTCAAGATCACAGAGTCAGCAGGGTTGGTTCTAAGGGTTGTGAGGCAGGCTTTAATTTTTAATTTTTGTTGGTACATAGTAGTTGTATATATTTATGGGGTACATAAGGTATTTTGATACAGGCATGTAATACATAATAATCACATCAGGGTAAATGGGGTATTCATCCCCTCAAGTGTTTATCTTTTGTGTTATAAATAATCCAGTTATACACTTATAATTATTTTTAAATGGACAATTAAATTATTTTTGACTGTAGTCATCCTGTTGTGCCAGCAAATACTAGGTCTTATTCACTCTTTCTATTTTTTTGTACCCATTAAGCATCCCCACTATCTCCCCACCCCCACTACCCTTCCCAGCCTCTGGTAACCATCTTTCTACCTGTTATCTCCATGAGTTCAATTATTTTAACTTTTAGCTACCACAAATAAATGAGAACATGCAACGTTTGTCTTTCTATGCCTGGTTTATTTCCCTTAACATAGTGACCTGCAGTTTCATCCATGTTGTTGCAAATGACAGGATCTCATTCTTTTTGATGGCTAAATAGTACTCCATTGTGCATATGTACTACGTTTTCTTTAGACATTCATCTGTTGATAGACACTTAGATTGCTTCTAAATGTTGGCTATTGTGAGTAGTCCTTCAATAAATGTGGGAGTGCAGATATCTCTTTGATATACTGATTTTCTTTCTTTTGGGTACATACCTAGGAGTGAGATTGCTGGGTCTTATAGTAGTTCTATTTATAATTTTCTGTAGAACCTCCAAACTGTTCTCCATAGTGGCTGTATTAATTTATATTCCCACCAACAATGTACAAGTGTTCACTTTTCTCCACATCCTCGCCAGCATTTGTCATTGCCTGACTTTTGGATAAAAACCGTTTTAACTTGAGTGAGATGATACTTCATTGTAGTTTTAATTTGCATTTCTCTGATGAACACTGATATGGAACACATTTTCATGTACCTGTTTGCCATTTGTTTGTCTTCTTTTGACAAATGTCTATTCAAGTCTTTTGCCCCCTTTAAATCAGATTATTAGTTGTTTTTCCTATAGAGTTGTTTGAGGTCCTTATATATTCTGGCTATTAATCCCTTGTCAGATGGGTAGTTTGCAAATATTTTCTCCCATTCTGTGACTTTTCTCTTTACTTCCATTTCCCCCATTCTGTAGATTGTCTCTTCACTTTGATTGTTTCATTTGCTGTGCAGAAGCTTTTTAACTTGATGTGATCCCATTTGTCCACTTTTGCATTGGTTGCCTGTGATCATAGGGTATTACTCAAGAAATCTTTGCCCACTGCAATATCCTAGAGAGTTTCCCCAGTGTTTACTTTTAGTAGTTTAATAGTTTGAGGTCTTAGATTTAAGTCTCTACACCATTCTGGTTTGATTTTTGTATATAGCAAGAGATAAGTGTGCGGTTTCATTCTTTTGGAAAAGGCTTTTATTTAACTAATTAATAAATGAGAAAACCAGTAAGATGTGACAACCAGTTCCCAAAATGATTTAAACACCACACATATCTAGGTAATAATAAGTAAGTTTACGGACACATGCAAACTGGTCAATATCCATTAGGCAACATTTTACCAGAAGTAAAAATCATTTGCTTTTCTATGGGCAAGAATCATTTGCATTACTTACAGAGTTGTAAAATACCTTAAAGGCAATAAAAGGTGTGGACTTCTCTGAATGAAATAAATGGAAAGAGGTGCTTTACAGAATGGCAAGTAGTCTATTTTTGTCCATTTCAATATCCTTTTCGGTTTTTGTGACATAAATATTGGAGTGCTTTGTCTCAAACAGAATGTTCTATGGAAACTCAATTTATAGCCCGTAGGAAAAGCAGAAGTGAGGCAGTGGCGATAGTAGTGGCAAGAGGATGAACAACAAGTTTGATGCTTTGAAAGATGATGACAATGGGGACCATGATCAGAATGAAGAAAGCAGCACACAGAAAGATACTGAGAAAGAAAAAAACAGAATGGGACAAGAATAAGAGCAGTAACAAGAGGAAGGCTGTTGTCCCTGGACAGGCAGAGCATCCCCTCCAGTATAACTACACTTTCTGGTACTCCAGGAGAACCTCTGGCTGTCCCACCAGCTCACAGAGTTATGAACAGAATTATCAAACAGATTGGTGCCTTTGCCTCTGTGGAGCAGTTCTGGAGGTTTTATAGCCACATGATATGTCCAAAGGATCTGACAGGCCACAGTTACTTCCATCTCTTCAAAGAAGGAATTAAACCCACGTGGGAGGATAATGCAAATAAAAATGGTGACAAGAGGATTATTTGGCTGCCGAAGGGCTTGATCTCCCATTGCTGGGAGAATCTCATTTGGCCATGATAGGGGAACAGTTCATGGTTGGGGAGGAGATCTGTGGGGCTGTGGTCTCTCTTCACTTTCAAGAGGACATTATTTCAATATGGAAAAGACTGCCAGTGACCAAGCAACCACAGCCCAAATCCGGAATACACTTTGGCGAGTGCTTAACCTATCTCCCAACACCATTGTGAAATACAAAACTCACACTGACAGCATCAAAATGCCAGGCAGACTGGGCCCCCAAGGGCTCCTTTTCAAAGCCTCTGGAAGGTGTGGTTGAAAGTGCCATGACCCTCTCCCTCTCCGGATGGCACTATCCTTGAAGCTGGTGTCATTAGAGTCTCTTGTTCTGTTGGTGTGCTACCTGGAAGATCCTTCTGTCCTGGACAAGATAATTAAAAGAGCATTTTATGTTTTAAGAACAGGCTGACACAGAGCAGCTACAACAACAGCTGAGATTGCTCAATAAACGGTGCTAAATTTAAAAAAAAAAAAAAAAAA